GGAATAAATTAATTGATGTAATTAAAGAAACAAAGAAAAACCTATAGATCAATAGTACAGTAGTAATGCTTCCAGGTCGCAATCATAAGATCTGTAGTTCAATACCACTTAAGAACCAAAAATCAAAATTACCCTTCTGATCAGGTTTATCGGTTATCCTGTAAAAGTTATACCCAATCATCCGGAACAAGCTTTAATCAGATTAGGCTGCATGAAGATAGGACTTCTGGCCTTCCATCGATCAAGGGCTGAGATCTATGGTCGTACTACTAGAAAAATTGCATGAAGAAAGGCTTCTGGTCTAACCCACCATAAATGTTCCACAAGATTCCCTACCCTGGCAGTCCCAGGACCCCATTCTTCTAGCTCAGGATATCCCAATATGGTACTTCACTTAAATGAAAATCAGTCAAATGGGACTGATCCGATGCCATAGGTGGTGACAAAGAAGGTAAAGTGCCCCTTTCCAAGGTCTGAGCGAATAATATCTGGGAGTATTGGAGGATAAATTAAAAATCACGTCGAGTACATACTATATAAACTAGTTTAGTGAATATAATTAAAAATTTATAAAAAAAAAAGCTTAATACTAAAATTAGTCTATTTCACCATTAATGACTGTGTATTACCATCCGACTCCTAGCTGGATCTGCCCCACTCACAGAGTGGTTAATGGATCCACCTAAAGAAAACCACAATAGATTATCATTAATCTGTATGTATATAGAAAATATATAGTTTGTATGAGATGATTAATGTGATGCCCAGGATTTCATTATCTATGATGTTAAGTTAATTCTTAATAAAAGCGCTCGCATCTAATACTAGTTACAGTTTAAAAAAAAAAAAAAAAAAAATTAAAGAAACAAAGATACATTTATTTGAAGATAGTAAGACTAATTCAAAAAATTTTATTAAAAGAAAAATAACTATATATGATTACAGTTGATGTCTGAAGAAATATTTTTTAACAAAATGTTTTATACTAAATAATTATAATATTAATTATAATTACTTATAGTTAAAGAATTTGTTGAAATATTTGGATAAATATTTAAAATCAATTCAAACATTCCAGCTGACTTATAAATGATATTATGATAATTTATATTTCTATGATGTAATGTTACTAAAAAGCTTGTTAAATTGGATATATAGTTTGAAAAAAATTTTGGAATATAAATAAGAAAAAGAAATAGAAAGAGAAAAAAATTAATAGTTAAATCTAAAAGATAAAAAATTATTGAATAAGAGGAATCACTAATGTATTTAGAGGATGAGAAACAAACTAGAGAAAATGCATGAATGGATAAAATTTGGAAGGCAATTAGATTAGAAGAAAAAAATAAAAAATCTCAAAAAATATTTGATAAGGTAAAATCAATCAGGCTAGTTTTAAAAGAATCAAGTCAAAATTTTTAAAGGAAAAAGAAAAGCAAGTGAAAAAGGAAGAAGAGAAAAAAGAGAAGGAAAAGAAAAATGATGAATAATTTAATTAATTGATTTTGTAATTTTTTAATAAATTTCATGAAATTTGAATTTTTTTACCATAATAATTTTTTTGTCAAATTTTTTATTGCAATATCAATTTTTTGCTAAATTTTTTTTTGCAATAATTTTATCAAATTTTTTATCACAATATTAATTTTTTTGTTGAATTTTTTATCACAATATACAAAAAATTTTTCAAAAAAAAATAATAAAAAAACACTTTAATAACTTTATAAATACAAAAAAATATTCATATATAAATTTTATCAATCTAATATAGAATAAAATTTAAAAACAATTTCTCTAATATTACAGACAATGAAAAAAAATCTTTTTATAAATAATCGAATTTGTAAAATAGACAAATATATACTGTATATGTCGAACATAGGCTTCCAGCGCTTCAGGTGCGATACGCAAGTCACATGCTACACTGCAGGATTTTGTTTGATTCTCTCAGCTACACAACGTTCTACACGCAAAAAGTTTTATTGATTAATACACTTACACTTATACAACCTAATTCTTTCCTTTTAACCATGTCACCAAATTCTAAAGATTACAAGCTTATAATCGAAGAGGAGGAACCGACGACCAACTCGGTCTCGGAAAAATCCAAAAATGCAAAGAAAACCCAACAATCTTCCCTTATATCATTTTTTTCCGGAACAAGCACTCTTTCCATTATGACCTATTGTGGTGCAAGCATCTTGATGACTGTGACGAACAAATATGTTCTATCCGGTTATGAATTTAACATGAACTTTCTGCTGTTATGTGTTCAGGTTGTATAAATAAATAAATAAATATATATATATTTTTTTTTTAGTAATCCAGATATTTTATTGAACATTCTTTGCTAAACTGCTTAGTTAATAATAGTCTATAGTATGCGTTCTGCTCCTTCAAGTTTTCAAACTACTAGACCTAATCACTTATCGGGAATTTGATCTCGCAATATCTAAGAAATGTTGGTAATAACATTCTTTTGATGACCATGATGCTTTTAATCCGGGTTAAATTAAATTTCTGATATCCTTTTTAGGGTACATCATTGCTGCTTTGCTTGTTGCCATGATTTATACAGGAAGCAAGAGGTATTTATAACCAGTGTATATGTTTCTCTTTATTTTCTATTCCAAGAATTAATACAACCACATCATTATCTAGCTTGCAATATCTCTCGATTCCCGTCTATACAATTTTTAAAAATTTGACAATCATCCTTATTGCATATGGCGAGATGTTATGGTTTGGCGGGTCTGTGACTAAATTGACGATAACTAGTTTTCTGTTAATGGTATTTGAATGGTCACTTTTTTTCTTTGTGATCAATATATATATTGCATTAACTTTCCCACATCAATTTGCTTTCAGGTTCTGTCATCTATTATAGCTGCGTGGAGTGATGTCAGCACCACGGCTGTCAGAAATTCCACAGTTTCACTAGATGTCGGTTATTTGTGGATGGGTGTCAATTGCCTTTCTTCAGCAGCTTTTGTTTTAACCATGAGGAAACGCATCCGATCTACTGGCTTTAAAGATTTTGATACAGTGTACTATAATAATTTATTGTCAATTCCTTTGCTGGTAGTGATGAGTTTAATGGTTGAGGACTGGAGTGTCAGCAATCTTGAAAAAAACTTGTAAGCATTTCTGAGAACATTTAAGATCGGAGGTGAAATTTTAATCGCGATTTATATAATCACATTTGTATTAGTCCAACTGAAATCCGAAGCACTCTAATAACGGCCATAATATTCTCGGGAATATCAGCATTTGCCATATCATATACTTCTGCTTGGTGCGTTAGAGTCACTTCTAGTACAACTTATAGTATGGTGGGGGCATTAAATAAGTTACCTGTTGCGGCGAGTGGAATGATCTTTTTCGGTGATCCGGTCAATTTTGGAAATGTGTCGGCTATCTTCGTTGGTAATTAAATTAATTTGAAGTTTTTCCTCTAACCCCTTCGATCTTTTCTGGTTATTAATTTCTTTTTCTTTTTAGGTTTTGTTGCTGGAGTTATTTACTCTTTTTCAAAATCTGTACAACGAAAACCCACAAAACTACCGATGTCTGCTTCAAGCAGCAGCATACGTGAAGCAAATTGCGCAAGTTCTACAGACCGGACAATTGTCACTATTGAACAAAAAAATTCAACTTAATAGAATTCCTAATCACACAATAGATTATTATTTCGATTTGGGCCTGACATTATTTATCAACTAATGTAATTCATTCGATATAGAAAAATTTTTTATTTGTTGCGAATAAATTATTTTTAATGTACCATTGATAAAAATAAATAAATTTAATGACGAATCTCAAATGTCGCAATTTGACACTAAGCAAAAGGTATACCTTCATTGTCCGATTTTCTAAGTGTGAATTTATACACGTCGAAATTTCCTAATTCTAAAAAAAAAAAAAAATAATAAAAAAATGTTAATGAAAAGAAATTTCGAGTTTAACAAAGAGGTTATGTAATCGAACGATTTTGTTGCAAGTCAGAGTTAAAATTTCGCAAGTCGTTTATTAATGAAGCCGGATTCAGAAGTCATTGTTGGACCTTCTTTGTTCCTATCAATTTAGATTTCATTTACAATAGTGGCACGTATTCGTATTTCCAAATAAAACGCGAACAAAAGGGGCTTTTACACTGTTAAACATCATTTTAGACATCTCAAGCTTCACTTTTTTCTTTCGCAAGGACCAATTGCCTGAACCGGAAACTTCAAATTTTCTTATAACCTTCACGTCTTCATGAGTCTTCATTCAAGGCTTCACAGTAGTCACCAAGTACGATTTCATTATATTTCAGTATTATTACATTGCATTTGTTTTTGTTTTTTTTTGTTTTCGTTTTCGTTTTTTTTTTTTTTTTTGTTTTTCTTTTTTTGATTTTCTTTCTTTCTTTTTTTTTTTTTGTGGATATGTTCTTAAGTGAGCCCAGACCGGATTGAGGTCCTTCTTCTTTTATAATTTTCTTCCTTGTTTCTTTATCTTCATTATATGAACTTGCATATTTCAATGTCTGAAACGTAGTTACCCAAGTTTTAAAAATTAACATGTGAAAATTTGAAATCAGATAATCCCCACATTAATATTGAATTTGATTTATTTCTATACCTACTGCAACGACAATCAAGGAAAAAGAAAAGGGAAAAGACAACAAAATAGCAATAAATTGAGAAATTTTAGCAAAGAAAAAGTCGAGACTTTCACCTATTCCTAAAAAACGAAGTATTGACATCTTGTGTCGACTTGATGCCCAGAACGCTTCATTTATATAGAGTGGTTACTTAAGTTTTTCTATTCTTCCCTTTTCGCATGCAGGATCGATTTTCTTTTTTTCGAAGTCTTGATTTTCGTGTTCCCTGAAGCACTAAATAAAGTGAAAACTTTGCAAATAATAATCCACAATGAAAGAACAAAGAATACTTGAAGAGATAAAATCTGCTGTGTGAAATTTGGACGTGAGTTTCGTTAAGATCATCACCCACCACTCACTTTATACAATATATTTTCACACTAACCAATTCAACGAGAATAGCTTCGAGATTTTCTAGAACGACTATAAGATCTTCTTCGATATGAATAACTACGACTGCGCGATCTCCTTCTGTCCCTTGACCAGCTTCGGCTCCTGGAACGTGAAGGCGTTCTCCTTCTATAACGCTGTGGGCTAAAAGAAGGAGATCGACGGTACGTGTTGCCACGATAACGCGGTCTGTCTCCCATATATTCTCCCGGAGTGGGCGTATGCGGCCTCTGGGTCAGTGAATAATCTACACGCATATTTCGACCATTAATTTCCTGATATCAAAGAGAACAGTGACGTCAAAACGTTATTTGTTACTATGAATTCTAAAGAAAAGGGTAGTTAAAATTCCATACCATTCCGTTAGTTTTTTCTTTAGCAACTGATGCCTCTTCAACTGAATTCATGTAAACAAATCCAAACCCACGGGAACGGTCGCTCTGTAACATTCAAAGAAATTCTAGTATCATTAGTTTTGACCATTTTAGATTAATGTTTACTTGTAAAGCAAAAAGAAAATCAATTACCCGATGATCATAAACAATAGTAACTTGCTTAACTCGTCCGTAACGTTCGAAGATAGCTTGTAAGTCTTTCTCTGTGGTTCTAAGACTTAGATTGAAGACTCCTAATACGTGGCTAGGATCAGGTTCCTGTTGCAGGCAAGTAAATGTAACAATAGATCAAAGGAATGGTCGGTGGAAAGGTTCAAATAATTCGACTTCTTTAAAATTACATCTCTACGGCTAACTCTTCTTCTTCCACGACTTCTATCACGAATAGGGCTTTTTGACCTGCGATTATAATTGCAATCCTACTTATCACAACGACCAATATTTTTTATAGTGTGTGATCGAATAAACTTTCGTACCTCCTCTTTCTATCTCTACTCCTGGAAAGACTTCGACTTGAGGAACTTCGGGAGAATGAACGACGTCTATGTCTTTTAGAAGTACGTGAACGCTTGGTGGCACTTCGACTACGTGTTCTACTACGAGAATAGGAACGGGGACGCGAATGTGAACGAACACGTTGACGACCTCGATCACCGTTGGAAGACTGAAGAGAATCTTGCATGGGTATGTTCGATATGTTAGGAAAAGGCGATGGCTCCTTTCTTGACTGTTCAGGGATATCTTGCTTTTTGTTTACAATAAAAAAAAAAAAAAAAAATAAGAATTGTGTTAACTCATATTACAAATATGATAGTGACAACGTACAGATGCTGAATGTGTGGAAAGCGGTGCTTCAATTTTTTCGGCTTTATCTGGTACAGTATTATTTGGTGCTTGCGGCTGCCCAGAGTCAGAATAAAATAGCTCCATCGCTTCTCTTTTTTACTATAAAGCGGAGTTGCATTTTCTAAAATGCGCACCAAAAAAAAAAAGCTTTTGCAATGTGTTACACAACAGAAATTTAGTTCATTTGAATCATGTATTTTTGGCTTATTTTATTAAAAAAAGATCACAATTGGAATCTCTACTATACAAATCACTAATACATAAATCTAACTTTTTTTTTTTTTTTTAATTGCCAGCTCAGCCATGTTTATTAGCGATAATAGAATAAAATTCAAAATACATTGAAATTATTATAAATATTAAGAGTGTTATTAAATTTCCTAAAACCTAATAATTTATCAGATTGTATTTTACTACTTCAAATCAAGAGAGACTAATCTAAAATTACTTTTAAACTAGTGCTAAAAATATAAAAGAAAAACATGACTAATATAAAAAAAAAAAATCAATACCTACAGATTATCCACTGAAATATTATATCTCTTATCTTTAAAAAAAAAAAAGAAATAACTTCTTTTGAGATATGGTTTTAAAAATCTGATTTATTGATATTATCTTATCTAGAAGTCTACCTATAGAACTACTTATCCAAAAATCAGATGAGTCACAGCTAAAAATGAGTTCCTAAAGAGGGAGGCAAGAACAAAAATCAAATGTCTCTCACTAGAAAACATTAAAAATTTAAAATAATAACTATAAAAAAACTATCTACGATTATTTTTTATTATTTAAATTATTGATTTATAGTAATTCCTGACTTTTGTTCCTATTAAAATGAAGAGTTATAAATTTTGTCTCTCAAAAAAAAATAAGAAATTTACAAAATTTTATATGCTAAATACTTTAGAGTCCTATCATTAATCATAACCTTTATTTAATAAATTTTAATTTAATTTAATTTAATTTTTTTTTTATTTTTTGTCAGGCTAGTTATGTATACTTTATTAAATATTTGTAAGTTGTACATATAATATGAGATGCTAAAGCTAATTCTTTAACTAACTTACTCATCTTGGTTGTTTTACCTTTCTAAGTACAACTTTGGAAATAATTTATTATTCAATTAGGAGTTCAAGTAAATACCCTTCTAACTTCTAATATCATTGTTTACAGATTACTACTGCAGATCACTCTTTTGAGTTCTGACAAAGATTAAAACTCAATTATTTTATTTCATACTTTATCCTATCTCACAGGACCTGTTTTAGCATCGTATTTTCTGATTATTTTTTTTTAATAATACTTGATATAACTGATTTTCTAGTATCTTAACCCTATTTTTTTGCCTCTGTAAATGTATCAGCCTTTTGATCTTGTCATTTCTGTTGATTTCTAATATTCATTCCCACTCTATCATCTTTTCACATCTAATATTCCAAATTTTTTTTCTGAAATGATTATGTATTTTTTTTTGCATTTTCATTATTCATTTTTTTGTTTCTTTACTGATTCTTTTTTCATAATACTTCAAGTCTATTATCTTATTTATTAGATCTTTTTTAATCAGTCCCATATAGAAGCTAAGTATATCCCAACCAATATTTAAGATTCTTTTTACTAGTTGAACTATTTTCTTATCCATTTCTTCTCTTTTTTATTCTATTATCCACTACTAGACTTATCTCTTTTTCTTCTGACTCCTTTTTCCTATCTACTAGAAGTTTGTTGAAACCTTGCATCATATCTTCCATACCCTTCTACTAGGTTTTTTGCCATTGAGTTTTATATACTAAACATTCTAGCAAGTGTTCTATTGTCTCTTCTTGCTATCCATATATAAAACATTTTACTTGCTTATATAAATCTGATCTTTTTGTAACTAGCTTTGTTAACATGAGTAGCTTATCACTAATCATCTTAACAAGAAAGCTTTTTCTTCATAATCCTTTAAAGAAGATATTTCATGTATTTCTATTATTCATTTGTTCTCTAGCTAGATTCCATATGTACCTGTGCTGGTCTTGAATTTGATAATCTCATTTTTTGTCTATTCTATTTTTAGTTGTTCATTGGTGTGTCATTATTTTGGCATTAATTTTTTTAACAAACTGTCTTATTGAAGCATCCAACACTATATCTTGTCATTTGATTTCACTAATAATCTTAGGTGAGTCCAGATCTTGCTATTCTATTGTTGGAAACTTTAACATTTCTTTGACTAGAATGTCTGCTTTCTCATTGTATTGAATATTGGAGTGTACTTTAACCTTGATAAAATTTAAATCTAATTCTTTTTTCTTTATTAGGTTCAATATTCATGCCTATAAGGAACAATTTTATTCCTTTAGTCATCTTTTGTAAGTTTTTTTGGAATCCTCTCTTTCTATAGTTTTCTATTTGGAGATATAGGCTTGACTATTAGTATGGATCTTGACCTTGTTGTTAATTAGTACTACTAGTAGTATAGTAATTATCACTACTAGTTCTGTTCTTGTGAACAAAGACCAATCAGCTACCTTTGCTTGGAACTTGTTTTCTCTTCCTGCTTCTCCAATTTGTATCCATGCTACATTCATCTTCATATTTTTATTTCCATAATCAAAAGGGATCTATCTAAATAAAAGGTCATTGATTTATTGCTATTATTCCTCTTGTTACACCTGAGCATTTCAATCAAATAGGTTTGGTATATGCCTTCTTTAATATTATCTTTAATAAGCTTTTCCTCTCAGTTTTTTATCTCGACTTCTTTCAGTTGCCTTTTATCACATTGTATAGTTACCAAGTCTATATGAATTGTTCTACTTATTGATTTTTCTAGGGCTACCTTGGAACAAGGAATTTCTAAAAGTTGGACTCTTCTTATAGATTTCCTAGTATTAAGAAAAGAAACCATATATGTTTGCTTCTACTATGCATTAGTTTTCAGTCATGATCTCTTTTGAGTAACCCTGGCATCATATCAGGTTTGATTTTAAGTTTTTCTTGAAGCTGTTACATTTGAAATAATATATTTTAATATATCTTTTATTGTTACCTAGAATCCATTTTTTTTAAACAAGTTGTCACTGCTAATTATTGCTCTTGGTAACCACCTATAGTTTTTATCTTTTATTAAGATTAAGATTGAGTACTGGATATTCTGGACTCTATTTTAACCAATTTTTTTTCCAAGTTCTTGTGAGCTGTCCTAGTTTGTTTCCTTGTATCTCCTTTGTTATTGATAACTACCATTCTGTAATGGACCCTTTACTTGTCTTTTGTAAAAGTTGAAACATTCACCAGTTCAATACTTCTTTAGTTTCTTAGTTAATAAGCTGATCCATGTACATCAACTTATTGTGTTTGAGTGATAGAATGGCTTTACTATATTCATTTATTGTCAAATGATCTTTAATTAGATTACTTCCAATACTTCAAATAAAGATATCATTTCACTTCCAACTATGAAAAGTTATTTCTATATCTTTGATCAATTTCAGTACTTGTAATGTGAAGTTGTCCATTTCTGGAAAATGGTTTAGTAAGTTACATATAAGTAGGTTGAGAGATTTCCAATACTTAATCTATAATTGCTTTAACCTGATAATTGTTGTAATTCTGGCTAACCCTAAGTCATTTAACCTATTGCATAATTCTATTATTTGACTTTCCTTTTGTAACATCCAAAAACTCTTTAAATTATAAATCCTGGGATAATGTACTATACTATTAGGTATAGATTGATATAGTGTGGCCTTATTTTTGAACAACTTTCTATATACCATTGCTAGGATATTACATATTTGTCAGGATAGTACACTATGCTACATTCTGAATTCGATTATAAGTATTAAGACTTTATTTAGAATATAAAGTGCTTGTTTATCGATTTACTTTTTGTTCTTTAGAGACTTATAACCATGTTGATTTTTTTAAACATTTATTCTTTAAGCTCAATAGTTGATTTCTGGTTACTTGTTCAGATCCCTAGGAATTTTGTCTGTTCAGCTCTATCCAGTTCTCTAACTACTTCTCTGTTAACTTCTACTTGGACCTCTTCTGGATATTGGTTAGGATTGTTAATAGTAATTAATACTAATTTGCTACTATTAATCTATAAATCATTTGTCCTATAAAAGATTCTTGCTTCTTCCAAAATCTTTTTCATATTCTCTTTAGATCTTGCTATCCATATTGTATCATCCATAAATGTGATAGCTGTATATCTTGACTTTAGCTTTCTTTCAGTATTTTTCTTTAAATTGTGATCTCAAGTCATTGACATTTTTGTAGCCTTTTGTTTCATCATTTTGAATCTTGCACAATAAAGGGTCATAGAATATCCTCCATATTAGTGATAAGATGGTTTCTCTTCAATCAATCTCATCTCCTGCTGTAATTATTTCAGTTAGATCTTTCTCAAATATAATTCTAAATTCTTGATTTTGAAATAGAATCATTATGATTTGGATAAAACCTTCTGGTATCTTGATTCTATTTATTGCCTTAATTAACATATTCAAGCTAATAGTATCATATGCTTTTGCTATATCTTGAAAAAGTATCTATAACTCCTTTTTATTTTCTCTTGCTTCCTCACAAATGTTATTGAGAATTTGAATCAGTTCTACTATATTTTCTCCTGATAATCCTACATAATTAGATCCTCTTAGAATATTGTTGATCTTGCAGATATTTCCCAATCTATTTATAAGGATTTTGGTAAAGCATTTTTGTGTAAACTCCAGCAATACTATTGATCTGATGTTGAAGAGTTTACATTGCCATGGTTTTGGCTTTGCTATGGAGTATATATGACTTTGCTTTCATTCTATT